AGACGGTGCTGTCCATGAGGATGACGTAGTCCTCGCTGATCTCCTTGGGAAGGCGCAGGGAGGGGAGCTAAGGAGGGAAGGAGAGGTGGTCACCCATCCCGTGGTGCCGGGGGGCTCTGGGCCAGGGCAGTGGGCGCCGCTCACCTCAGGCTCCCCCGTGTCGTGGTTGGTCTGGATCAGGATCTTGCCCAGGCGGATGTCCTTGCACACAGCAGTGAGGGCCTGCTCCATGGTCTCCCCTGCTCGCAGGATGGACACGCCTGTGATCTGGGGAAGGGACGAGAAGACGTCTGCCTGGTGCTGCGCAAGGGAAGCAGCCGCTCCGGTGAGCTCCTGAGGCTCCAGCACCGTGGGATGGGGGGGAACAAGCCCTGCCGAGCAGCTCGTCTGCACAGGGACGGACCCCAGGAGCCACCAGTTTTTCCCAGTCAGTGCCAACCAGAGATGGGTCAGCCGCGTGCTTGTGGGGAGAAAGGGGCCGGGACAACATCTCACCCTCTGCCTGTGGAACCGCTTTCCTTCGTACATTGTCCCCTGGGGCGTCTCCACAGTGACCGACTGCAGAAAGGGGAGGAGTGGATGAAGCTGGGCCCCGGCATGGCCCAGGGGCTCAGGAGGGAAGAGACATGGCCGTAGCCACACCTGAGGGGTGGTCGCTCACCTTCAGTGGCAGAAAGGAAAGGGCATGTTCAATCAACAGCCTCATCAGGCGCTTGGAGTAGAAGATGAATTCGTCCCTTGTCGTGTCCTTGTTCCTGTTGAGGGAGGACACCCACGTGAGACGAGCAGAGTCCCTGCTCCACCCCGCAGACGGCAAACAGGGCTCTAGAGAAAGGCTGGCATGAACAGAGAGCAGTCCGCGGGAACCTGGAAGCTCTTGGGGAGGAGACACAGTCAGTAATCATTGATGTTTCAGGGCTTGCTGAAGACCTAGGGTGCTGTCTAGAAAGGATCACATGGTCAAGAAATGTGTTCAGTTCCCCTGGAAGGGGGACACAAAGCCTGCAGCAGATCACACAGATCAGATAAAGTGAAAGGATGCCACGCGACGCTGCTCAGTCCTCTTCGGGACACGGGACGGTTCAGAGCTGACTCTGCATGGTGGGCTAGCTAGACTAGCAAAGTGAATAAAGCCAACAGCAAAAAGGAGGGATAAGTGAGCATAACATGAGTAGCCTGGTGTAGATGTACATCCTGACCCTGAATAGAGATGAGGCAGGTGCCTGAGAAGCAAGCGCAGAGTTGCAGCATTACTCGCTCCGAGCATGACCTCTAATCGCTGCTGAATCTCTGCTGAGGATTTGCAGGGCTGGAGATTTAGGACATAATTGCTGACTATGTGGAAAGAGCCAGGAGAAAAACAGGGGGGGTGGGAGCCGCAGAACGTCAGGCAGCACCATCAGTTCTTGGGGCAACAGAAACTCAGGAGCAAGCGGCAAGTGTTTTGCACGGACCCTGTCAGGGGAACACAAGGCAGAACAGAGCACACCCAGGACGGTCCACGGCACAGCAGGACAGCTGGCTCCAGGAGCACCTCAACGTGGAAAAGACCAGACTGCACCACGGCCAAGAGTAGCTGGGTTACCCGACATCGGTAATGGGAAAACATCTGACGCGTTCTCAACTCCTCTCCATTTACGTACCAAGTTAGAGATAAACTACTGCCAGGAACCAGACAGATTTGGAAATACCTGGCATTAACTCATCACAACACTGAAGTGCTGAGGGCAGCAAGAAACAAATAAATAAAATAAATAGAAAACAGATGAGATTGTAATTCACAGGAAACCTCCCCTTCTCCCTCAGGAGGAGTAAAGCCAACTGTATGCGCATGCGTGCTAATCCCAGTGCCAGGGGCAGGGGGGGAAAGAGGCTGGCTTTTCTTATTGGGAGCATTTTGACCATCAGCACATATCCGTGTTGTAGTCTAACTCGTTCATCACACAAAAGAAACTGCTGCACAAAACCTTGCATTTCCTGCAACACACGGTTCTCAAAGCACAGTAACACGAGCGTGTACAGCGCTTCACTTAAGGACAGGCAGAACCGTCCCAGTCCCATGTCACTCAGAGGATATTTTCAGGTGAGCAGAACAAGTCCTCCACCAGCACTGTCAGTGTCAAGTGCCCGAAGGCAAAGTACCTACAGCAAGAGGTTGCTCAGCAG